TTTACATCTAACGCCAGAGCAAGAAAAAGATAAATCTCATTTTACGGATAAAGAAGTATTATAACTTTGACCTCTTTTTCACAATAAAACAGGAAAAATTTTGGAAAATTTTCCGATTAATTTTTGTTTTTCCCTTTGTTATTATTATAGAGCGGAGTAGAATTGGAATTAGTGGAATGCCAACCTTTATTAGAATGGCTAGCTAACAATTACAAAAGTTTTGGTGCGACACTTGAAATCATAACAGACAAATCTCAAGAAGGTTCACAATTTGTCAGAGGGTTTGGTGGTATAGGAGGTGAGTTATTTCTACAATTAATATTGCACCATCCTAATAACAAACTTATGATGACAATAACATTGCAACCATTGGGAAATGTTCTATAATTTTAACCTCCTACTAATTATAATTTCGTTTTTATTTAATTTTTTTTGATTTTAATGCATTCATGTTAATCCGTGGATAGGGATACTACGCTACAAAGTGGATTTTCAATCCCTTCAAGCCGACGAACCTTTGGATGACGTTGATCTTGATGATTATTAAATAAAACAAAAAAAATAATAATAATAATAATTAAAAAGATTAATTTATTCCAAAGGGTAGAATTATCAGGTAGACTCAACGTAGGATTTTTGTTTATTTTTTTTTTTTAAACTTATGAAATATTTTTTTTTTTTTTTTTACATAAAAATAATGCATGTTTTATCTCTCTCTCTCTCTCTCGTTTCTCTTGTCTCTCAACTCTCGTCTCTCTCTCGTCTCTCCTTCTCTCTCTTGTCTCTCTTGTCTCTTTCTCTCTCTTGTCTCTCTCGTTTCTCTTTCTCTTTCTTGTCTCCCTTTCTCTCTCTTGCCTCTCTCGTCCTCCTTCTCTCTCTTGTCTCTTTCTCTGTTTCTCTCTTTCTGTCTCTCTTTCATTCGTCTCTTGCATGAAGCTTTTTTATTTACAAAAATTAATTTTTAAATTTTTTTTTTATGGTGCTTTTTAAAATATCATCATTATCATTATCATTATTATTTATTTATTTTCATTTATTAGTTGTCCGACACATTTAAAAAAAAATATTATTTTAAGTTATAATTTACATACGATTTTTTTTTATATTTATTTTAGTAGCGTTTAAAAAAAAAAAAAAAAAAAATTTCACCGTAAATTCGGGTGATTGATGATTGTATTGATTTAGTTGAAAGTATTTAAAATAATATTATTATTATTATTAATTAAGGGTTTAGAATTAATTAGTATTTTTTTTTTTTGTTAATTGTAAATTATCTTATTTTGTTTTTTGTTTTATTCTTTAGGTCTTCTTCGTTATAAAGTCGATTTTCAAAGCATGCAATTAGATGATTTAGACATGGGGAATGAGTATGACATTGACGATTATTAGAAGATTTTAAAATAAAAAAATTTAATTGATAAGGAAAAAAAAAAAAAGAAAAAAAATTTAAAATTAAAAAAAAAAGGAAAAAAGGAAAACAAAAGAAATTTAAAAAAAGAAAAAAAAAAGCAACGTTAAGGCCTTTACGAGATAATTCACCAAAAATAAAACGAAAACAAATATACATACATAGATATATATATATATGTATCTTTCCAGTCTACCTAAATTTTTTTTCCATGTTTTTTTTTTTTTTTTTTTTTTAACTAAAAAAAAAAAAAAAAAAAAAAGGAAAAAGAAATAATGGATGGGCAGCTTAAAAAAAAAATAAAACATTCAAAACAGTTTATATGCAATAAAAAAAAAATAAACAAACAAATACTGTTTTAACTTATTGTTCATTTATAACAAAATAAACAATAAATAATAATAATAATAATTTTAGTTAATTTTAAATAAATAGACCGGTATAAACGTTAATTCTTATATGAATATACTAATGAATGAACGTATATTTAACAAAAAAAAAAAAAAAAAAAAAAAAGTTTGAATGGATTTGAATGATTCGAATTTGAAAAAAAAAAAAAATTTTTTTTTTTTTTTTTTTTTGTATATAAAATTTTCCATTGGACAAATTTAACGCAGGTTCAGTCGATTTTGTCTAGTTCAAAATAAAATAAATAATTTTTTTTTTTTTAATTTGTTAAGTTAATAATAATCATAATCATAATCATAATGATGAGGATGATGAATAATCATAATAAAATGATATTTTTAAATATAAAATATTTAAAAATAAATAAAAAAAAATAGATAAATTATATATACATATATATATATATAAATCAAGAATCGAAAAAATATAATTTTAAGCGATTATTATTATTATTATTTTATTATGGTGTAAAATGTAGTTAATTTAATTAAAATACATTTTTTTTTTTATAAAAATAAAATAATGATTAATAGAATGAATGAAAAGGAAAACATTTTGTTTAAAAAAAGAAACGAATATAGGGAAAATAATAATAATTTTTTTATAAACCTTTTTTCTTTTTGTCCTCGTTATCGATACAAAAAAATTGTTTTTTTTTTTTTTTCCAATATTTATTGAATGATTGATGATTGTATTTTTTTGTTTACATATATATATTACTTAATAATGTGTTTGTTTGATTGTTTGTTTGTTTGTTAGGTAAATATTAGTAAGTTTGTAATGTCACAGTTCATTATTAATGAACGATTAGAAAGTGGTATATAAAGATGGTAAATATTATTAAAGTAAAAATTACAAGAAAAAAATACAATTATGGTACTCAATGTACATAAGAGGACAAAAATAAATTTTTTTTTTTATTAATTCAATAATCAAAATACGAAT